TAAAAGCACATATAGGTGTATTCGCAGCTATTTAATGCTCATTTACATCTGAATATAAACGAATTCCCTCCTTTTGGCACCACAGTTTGAAACTATCTATTTCATATTCTAATGGATTCCTTTTTTCAGGCTACAAGAAGCATACACAGCAACCTTGAAGGCTGTGTGCATGAATCAAGCCAGCAGGGACTTCATCACAACATCATTTCAAGTGGATTTCTATTCTAATAAGAAGAGACAGAGCACATAGCAACAGCAGCTTTTCCTGTTTCAGGCTTCAGTTTTGCTTTTTGTCAGAGTTTTGAGAAACACTGGTGATACTGATACAGCTAGCGAGTTAACTCCAAAGGGAACAAAGCATCTTTCATTAAAACCAGCTCTTGGTTAGAAGGGAAATAAAACATTTCCTGTATGTTCAGCTGAAACCAAAGCACCAAGACTCAGTGGTAGATAATGGAAGAAAAAAAACCCTAAAAGAATACATTGCTGCTTTACCCTGGAGACATCTCCCTTTATCACTGCAGAGAATGCCAGAGGCAGGATGGAACTGGAATGTAATGAGAGCCAGAGTGGGGAATGGCACCCAGCATCTCTGAGACCACCCAGCATCAAGACAGTGGTGGGGAAAAGATTTGCAATGTCCAGAAGGGACATTGCCAAGCCAGTAAAAATCACCATTCCTTGTGGCAAAAAGCATTATCTCCCACTTTCAGAGAGCATCCTACAAGGCGTCTGATGTTTCAGAGGGTGAAGGAGAGCCTGGTCAATAAAGTCCCAGGGGTCTGGGGAAGCACTCCTACAGAAGGACTCCACGCAGATCCCCACCACTTTGCCAGGTTTCCAGGGAAGAAGATTCTCTGGCCAGAGGAATATTTAGGTTTTATCTTTTCTCTAATAATTACAGACCATAAACAGTAGAACGTTATGCAGCAAGGAGGTCCTTACCTTGGGGTAATGCAGGGCGCAGCTCTGGAAATCAGTTGAATTAGTAAGAGATACTCAGATTCTTCGCATTTTCTTTTCATTCATGTATAAAGCTTTTTGTGCTTCCTACTTCAAAATGCTGCCTGGTCAATTCATCATCGATGTTCATGTCTTAGAAGTTTAGGATGAAGGAGAGAGGGAATCTATCTCTAAAAATCTTTTAGTACTCAGTTTCAGTAATTGATCATAATCAAAGTTAACTGCAATGGCCTCAAACTGCCCTAACTCTCATTTTAAGTTAAAGCCCAAATATCCAACTCATCCATGTGCATAAGGGAACAAGAGCAGAACTGGTTTTAGCTGGTAACTGGATGAAGTTGATATCCCTCTCACAGCCCCAATCCTTTAAATAGCACGAGTTTACTATAGACAAATACAGCCAGACATGAAATAGTGATGTGTTTCCTTAAAAACAACAAATAGACAGGAGCACTTTTTTCCTGTTTGCATTCCAGCTAATTTTTGAGACTGGCCAATGCAAATCTGCCCCAACCTAAATAAATTTTTACAACAATTATCAACAGCAACTATGAATTCACCACAATCCTCCACCCTCTATAATCTTCCTCTTGCTTCAAAGGTCGGCACAACTGAGGGATTCAGTGCTGCTGATTGAGCAGTACAGATGGGCCGCTCGGTGGATAAGGAATTGGCTGGATGGTCACACTCAGAGATGTGGTCAATGGCTCGATGTCCAAGTGGAGACCAGTGACGAGTGTTCCTCAGGGGTTGGTATTGGGACTGACAGTGTCCAACCTTTGATGGTGACATGGACAGTAGGATTGAGTGCGCCCTCAGGAAGTTTGCCGATGACACCAAGCTGTGTGGTTCGGTTGATATGCTGGAGGGAAGGAATGCCATCCAGAGGGACCTTGACACGTTTGTGAGGTGGGCTGATGCCAACCTCATGAAGTTCAACAAAGCAAAGTGCAAGGTCCTGCACCTGGGACAGGGCAATTCCAAACATGAATACAGGCTGAGCAGAGACTGGATTGAGAGCAGCCCTGAGAAGGACTTAGGGTGTTGGATGAGCCAGCAGTGTGTGCTTGCATCCAGAAGGCCAACCATGTCCTGGGCTGTATCTAAAGGAGCACTACCAGCAGGTCGAGGGAGGTGATTCTGCCCCTCTACTCTGCTCTCTGGAATACTGCATCCAACTCTGGGGCCTCCAACAGAACATGAGCCTGTTGGAGCAGGTCCAGAGGAGGCCACAAGGATGATCGGGAGCTGAAGCACCTCTCTTATGGTGACAGGCAAAGTTGGGCTTGTTCAGCCTGGGGGTTCCAAGGAGACCTTAGAGCAGCTCCCAGTGCCTAAAGGGGACCCACAAAAAAGCTGGAGAGGGACTTTTACAAGGGCCTGTAGGGACAGAACAAAGGGGAATGGCTTTAACCTGACAGAGGGGAGATGTAGGTCAGGAAGAAATTCATCCCTGTGAAGGTGCTGAGGCACTGGCTCAGGTTGCCCAAAGAAGCTGTGGCTGCCCCATCCCTAAGTGTTGGAGGGAGGATGCTACTGCCTGAAGTCTCCTGAAAATACTTAACAGATCACACAATTTCAGAGAGACAGGTCTGTAATGCAAATTAGTAAATATCGTGCTCGAAGGCCTACAAGGTGATGCTACCTGCCAATAACTTTTAGTTACAGTTAACTGGAAGGTCATGGGGCACTGACATAACATGCAATTATTTTAAACCACATTATTAAAAGCAGTTTCCAGAGAACTTCGATCACTCTGAGGGGTTTTACAAACATTAGTAAAGATTTATCCCTTCCACTCACAGTCATGTGTATCTATGTAAGCTACAAAACACTCCAGTAAGGACGGAAGCTCGACAGGAGAAAAATCAGACCTTATCTGTTAGCGATGCCAGAGATTACTTAAAATTCATGCTTCTCTGTATCGTTATTAATTGGCAGCATTGTTAAAAAACACTTCCAGTTCTGTCTTTAAAACGTGTGCTTCTTGGAAAGTTCTAATGTCCAAAGAAGCATAGACGTGTATATCTCCCTCCTGCCCATCAGCATCACACTATAGTGCAACCTTAAAATAACCATGACCGTTTCTGATAGAATATGGAAAATATGTTCTTCAAGATTAAGGCTCTAAAAGCTTAAGAATTAACATGGGCACCAAGTGGGGAAAACATTTCATATCAAAATTTTGAATTAATTCTTCAGGGTTTTTTCCCCAGAACTGTGTAGGAAAAGGCTCTCATTTTGGCAATGAAAACAAACCTGGATTAAAACTAAAGATGCTTTTTTCTGATGCTTTAATTTCTTTCTTCCGTACTTTGTACAATGAACAAAAAGATACATAAATCAGGGCAAAACTGCTATGGATAAAAAGAGAGAAAAAGATCATGAGACAAAATGTGGAATATGATAGGTTTGGGGCTCAAAGCTATTTTTGAAAAATCAGTTTAATCTAGTTTTTAATATAGTTCTTAGAGAATCAGTCCATATCCTGATGTTAGAAAAGTTGAAAACTGTTGAGTAAAAGACTTGCATTGAAGAACTGCACTGCAAAAGGCTACAGTGAATCACTGAGGAAGACATGCTGCCTCTTAAAAACAGAAACAATTTCTCTCTCCAAGTCATGCACCAGTGTTGTGCATCTTTAACCTAAAACCCAGACACCTGCTCTTTTTAGATTTGATGGCAGTAAGGAAGATACAGATATAGAGAAAGTATAGGTCTAGAACAGAATTTTATTTGATTCTTGAAAGTTTCATGCAACAAATCTCATTTTCTTTAATGATCCTTGCCGAGCTTTCTGATGACAAATTAAAATTCACAAGTAAAAGGACGTGTAAGGCTAGCACCATAAGAGGAATACTCTGCTCCTTACAAGACTATTTGATAGACAGTTATGAAAGAAAACAGAGGAAAAGAAACCTACGTGACCTCACATTTTCATTTTCAACATCCTAGATACTTCAATCTAAACATCAAGATACCACGACTCGTCTAGCGTATCTAAATAATTCATGTCCAGCAAAACTTGCTCTGTACAGTGAGAAATATTTAAGTGTCAAATAATAACTATCACAAAGTACCAGCTAATATGCAAGGTAAAAATTGTAAAGGTCCAGAAAAAGAAAAGAAGCAACAGAAATCAAAGTGAGGAATTTATCCCTCTCCCAGTCTTTTGCAGGTATGGTTATCATGTCTTGCTGCAAAGATTAAAACGTGAAACGGATGTGTGCTGGGTCTGTCTGGGGTGGGTTAAGTATCCTAACATTATCCTGCAATACCCTAATTTCATGGGTTGCATACTCAGATGTACTTACTCTCCTGTAGCAAGCAACTACAGGATTATATCAGACTTCAAATGTTTTTCCTTACTTTTGTATTCATTTTCAAAATTTGCTCGCTGTGGTCCTTACTGCAAGGTTTTCAAGATAGTGAACAGTTTTACAAACCTTCCAACATTTACCAAGCAGGGATTCTGATACAGGATTTAGGAGTTTCAAATGCCATGTTATTACATGCTGTCTTCTTAAGGCAATGGAGTAATCGTTTTGAAGTATCCTACTTTTGCATTACAAATTGATAGTAAGATTTCCTTCATAAACATCTCTAATTACATGTAAAATTATTTAAATTTTATTAAACTATTAAACCAACTCAATTAGTGAAAGAAGGGCTCAAGCTATGATCACAAGGAAGAGGCAACTTTTGGTCATAGTTAGGGAGATGTATCTTTTGTTTACTCCCACCTTTGAAGGTCATGTACATGGACTTTCAACAGTAACATTAAAGCAACCACTTAAAACCAATTATTTTGTATCCAAATCAGAGAAAAATATGCACTTTAATCCCAAAGCAAAACATGGCATAACCCAACCCAGCTGTTTTTTCGGCCCAATAACCATTAGCACTACACAACCTCCACTGCAGTAAATGCTGTTTTAATGAGGAGAGACACTGTTAATGCTGAACTACCCAGAGGAGCCTTCACAGCCATGAGCACTACATCACTTTACCACCAGGAGAGTAATGAGACTCTGAACTTTTCTTTATCTTTCCTTTATTTATGCTTGGACTTCCAGCACTGCACATCAGATACTCAGGGTCTTAATCTGTCCTGTATCAGACTGCAAAAATACAATGCTTTCTCAACTGTCCTTGCATCAACAAATCAGTCACATCCAACAAACCCTTCACTTGAGTAGTTACTTCTATCTAAAAATGCATCTCTCCTCTTAAGGATTTCAGCTAATGCTTCTGGCTTATAAAAGATTAAGTGCAATCAGTTACACTGAAAGTTTATAATGCAGTTCTTGATTGTATTTTCTGTGCACACATTTACATCAGGCACACAAGTTATATAAAACAGTTTGGAGTACAAAAATATGGTTATAACATAGGAGTACCAAATAGCACAGAATTAGAACAGTTTTATTACCATAACAATTTATATACAGACCCCCAAATTAACAATTTTTTAATTCTGAGTATTCTTCCCAAATTGACAACTGTAGCGTACACCCTAAAAAACTGCAAATTAACAACACAAATCTAGTTTAAACCTTACACTGTCTATGCAGCCTGCACCAATCCTCTCTTGCACACAAAAATGTATTATAAATAATTCTTTCACAAAATGTCACGTATGTTTTATTGCACATTGTACATGCCAATATCTAAAAGAAAGGCTCAAACCTTTCGCTTGATAACTGTTTAAATACCTAGCATCTACTTGTGTTATGAATACTATTCCATTTTTCAGGCTCTAATCTTAACTGATAATTTAAAAGAAAAAAGCAGAACAGAAAATACGCCTCGAACTGTATAGCCTTTGTGAAAGAAGCAAGCTTTTATAATTTTACTGATTTCTACTGTATAAAGTCATTAAAAACATCTGACCTGATTAAAATTCCTGTTTCAAAATTCTGCATTTTTATGATAAAATTATGCATACAACTGCTTGTATAATCAGTTTTGCAGAATTAGGTGTTCCTGTGCTGTAGTGACTAAAAGGTCAAGTTACATAGGTCTTAGTGTTAACTACATAAGTTAGTGTGTCAGCCTCCATCCTGCTGGTCTCCCCAGCAGTGACAAGCCAGGAGCCCTTCACACCACCACAATAGGAACTAGATGATCTCAAGGTCCTTTCGAACCCTAAGCATTCTATGATTCTATGACACTGGGCACAAATGGCCATCAAGCATCAAGGCCATGTGTAGTTCCTGTTAAGCAGATCCCTAGACTAAGGAATATGAGTAATTTAGCATTAATATGTAGGTTTATGGTATGCTGCACTAAAATATGACCGCTAAACAAAGAGAATGATCTCTGTATGACAGGTATGTTCCAGCTGGTAAAAACTCCTCAGTGGGTAAAAATCTGCATTTTGAGGGTTAAGACTCTGGCATGAACAAAAGGATTTAAAAGTCGATTGATCGAATGTTTTGCCAAGGGTTTCCTAAAGCTATTAGCCATCAACAGCTCCAGAAAGGGATAAAACCAGTAAAACCAAACAACTAAAATTGCACTATTACAAAGAAACAAGTCCGTGAAAGGGAGAGCCACCAGCTGCAGTTAAGGGACAGCCACCTCAAGAAGCCGATTGTTTTTTCGCTTGCAAGTTGGGATGTTGCCATTTTTCTGGCTGCCTTGTATAAACTTCACACACACTTTGTCTTGTCTGAACTGGACCAGGAACCTAGGAGAGGGAATAAGATACATTTTCATTAAAGGTGGAAAAAAAACCTCATAAATAGAATTCTTTTCCTGCTGGCTCTGAGCATCGCTCCAAAGATGTTATTTTCAGGTCTGCATTAATAAATGAGAGTTGGGGAATAAAAGAAATGCTGTATGTTATGGTATGGCTTGAACCTTCTTTAGGTAGTATACCTTAGTTATTGGTTTTTGCCGGTAACTGTGGAACTTATACAACAGGTAGTTTGCTATTCCTTCAGAAAGAAGGCAGTTTAAAACAGAATTTCTAACGTACCAGAAATGCAGCAAAGACTATTTCCAACTGCTTCACCGTCACCCAAAGGGACTTTTCTTTTTTCACAGAAAGAAGCTAAGTACTTCTACAGTAACACTGGGAGCACTCCTCCTGTTTTGTGCTTAATTTATTATGTAGCTGGTATTTTAGCAGCTCTCCTATTTCTAATTTACAGGCTCCTGCTCAGCAACTGGGAAAATACACTTCCTTTCCAGCAATGTCCAAATTGAGGTACTTCCTATTGTCTAGGATAAGTTAATTTGGATTTGACTCTTCACATTTTTTACTGGAAGAGAAATTTCATTGAATGTGGAGAATGGCTTAAAAAAATGTTTAAACTCCCCCTGTGAAGTCTCAAACCACTCACTGATCTGGATAGAGAGATTAAAAGCAGCAGTGAACAGGGCAGCGCTGCCCCTCAGCTCACATGCAGCAGTTGCTGACCTGAAAAGTCCTTTGTAACACAGCAGATTTTCCCTTTTAGCATCCTTAAAAAGTCCTCCAGCAGAGGCCAAAAACTTCAAAGAATGTGTTCTGCAGCCGGAAACCACAAATCAAGCTGATGGCAGAGCTCGGGGGAGGAAGTGGCCTCTGCTGTGCTGAGCTGCCCTTCGGTCCTGCTTTCCTGCTGCACAGCTCAGACACTCAAAGATTAACTTGTTCGCAGCCATGCAAGCATCCAGAAAACCTAAGTAGGTGTTATGGCCAGCATCTCTTGTCACCAGTGCTGAGTTTTCCTAGACCCATTGTTCCGGCATTATATATATAAACGGTATGCCTCTTACTAGACATACCCTTATTGAACAGTATTTTTGGTTCTACCAGCTCTCTTCCCCAAAACTAGTGTAGACTTGTCAAGATAAGGCCGTTTTCTCCTCAATCCCTAGCTGTGCTTGTATCTAAACTCTAGCAGAGAGAAAAAGAGTACTGCTTTACCAGTAACAGAGATGGAACTATAGTCTGGATAAACTCAACAGCAACACACACTTGAATGTTTTTAATCTGCAAGACAAGAGACGAAACCACATCCCAAAATGCAAGGCTTCCAGAAAGCAGACTGTTTTCCAGACCTAAGGCAGTCAGTCTAGACGAGCACAGTGCATGCTTAAACTTTGTTCTAGTAGTTTATTCCTTTGTAGCCATCATTAAACTAGAAACTTCCTGGAGACAGCCATGCTCTTTTAGATGTTAAAAACACACACCCTTGAGCAAATTAAATCACATCTGGTGACAGCACAAAGGAAAATGGCAGATGTCATTTTCAAGGAAGGAGAAAATTAGCCTTTAAATAAAACCTCAGATCTGAACAGATACAAACTGTACTCGCCATCATGACTCTAGAATGCAAGCAGTGCGGTGCAGCCAGAGAAAAGGTTCAATTTTTTTCCTACAGAAATTTTATTTCACTATTGTTAAAGTGTTCCAGATTTTCTTCTTTATTCATAATGAACAAAGCCACCAAATCAACACTGCTGTAACCAGGGGGCACTTCACACAACAAACTGAGCACATAACAATAGTGGAGGTACTCCTACTCAGCAGGCTTTAGGAGTTCACACACACACAAGCATTTTTATTCCATAGCTATAAACACTGCAAGGGCAGTCTTTATTAAGGCCAGAATATGAAACTGCACCAAGCAGAAAGAAATACTAATCTGAGATGCAACCTTTTTACCAAACAAAGCCTTTTAACAGCCAAAAACCCAAAACAACAGTAGGCAGTTCAAACACCATCAGCAGGAATTTTAAGAATACCATTTTCACCTTCACAAAAGATAAGGTAGACCTTTACAGACCTACATTATCACCGTGTGTGTTCTGTGTGTTTGGGGAGGAGCTTTTCATTCTGTTTATGTTGTTTTCACTAGAACGTGGCACCTACTGTCCAATGAACACCTCAGAAATTTTCAGTCATACAAAACACTTATCTCAAATGCCATCCTGCTTCATAACCCTATTCAAAACTGCCTTAAGAAAAGCGCATTTTCTCTAAGGACTTTAAAGGAAATGAGTAGACATTGAAAATTGGATCCTTATCTACAAGTATTCTGTCAAGAGAAAAGAACTGTAAGTTACATGACAGTGTTTTGTTTTTCTGACATTAGATACTTGACTTTTTAGCACGTTGCAAATGTACTTTTAAGCAAACAAGAAACATACTCATCAGATATCTCAATGTTGAGCTTCTGTTTGGTTTGGCTGAGAGTAGTGCGGTAAAGTTTAGTGGCCATTTCAATAAGGTGATCACTGCTTAGCAGGAAATCTCCTTTACCAGCTGCTTCTGAACCCTGAAATGGAAAGGGAAGGAGTTAGAAGTATCAAAATCTAGAACCTGGAAAATATTAAATGCCAGCCAACCAGGAGGTTTTACAAGGACTATTCTTGCCACATTGCAATGAAGCAACAGCCTCTTGCCTTGTAAATCAAAGAGAGAGATGCAGTGCAGTGTATAGGATCAAAATGCAAGTCACTCTCAAATAAACCACTAACCTGTTGAGGAAATTAAAAACTCCTTCTGACCCTAAAGGAGGGTTGCCTTCATTTGTCCTACAAAACTGTAGTGTTCCTGAACTCCTCTTCTGCTTATGCCCCAGCAAGCTCACAGTATTTTCACAAAGGAACAGAAAGCAATTACCAACGCCAGTATTAGGATGAAGGCAGTCAGTATGAAAAGACATTACATATGATGTTCTTCAAATCCATTTAAGCTACAATACAAATGCCAGCTTAATGATTTTAGCAGAGCAATGCTGACAGTGCAGCGAGCAAATATAGCACTGAACTAAGTTCCTTAGAACTGAGTAACTGAATTAGCTGTGCCATAACATGGATTTCTTGGCATCCCATAAAGAAAAGAGAGATATTCTGCCAATGTGTCAGGAAGAATTATATGAGCAGCTAAAAAGGAAAACACTGCCACAAAGAATCTGAGGCAGATTAAAGGCCCGTATTACCAATGGAAAACTCCAATCCTGAAGAGGCTACAGTGAAATATGAAGTCTGATTTTCACAAGTAAATGATCATTCTTAATGTAGTAACTGTTCTCATCTGACTTCAGTAGTTTTATATCAAAGTTTTTGCAGATGTGCCAAAATTCAATAAATTTCTAAGCCTATAGGCTGACCACTAAAATTTAACAATACAAGGCAGTTGATAAACATGTTTTGCACCACTGCATGCAAACCAGTCATATGATTGTATTATAAAGTTGTAACTGACCTCCTTGAGGTGCACTGCAAAGAAGCCATCATTCTGGGAGCTCATGGACACCTTGGTAACATCTCCCAGTGGAACCTCTGACTTGATATTCCCAGATTTTTGATCCGCAAGAAGAACGTTATTTTTGGTTAATAAGAAAATTCTGGATGTAGCCTGTGAAAATACGACAATGCCAACCATTACCTACACAGAGAGAGAACTAGTCCTTATTGAGCAGCTACTAAGACTATAAGCAGTTCACAGTGTTAATAAGCTTGGACCATATTAATAAATATGAACATTTGATGTTCAGTAAAAGCTGCAGATCAGTTAAAATCGGGTCCAATTTACTTAAGCGTCTAATTATAGACTGAGAAGCTTAGCTCATTTTGGCACCTATGCTTAGCTGTAAAGAATTCCTTTAATTTCTAGCTTATAGAATTCAGAAACTGAAACTCAGAAACTATGTAAATATGTAAAAAAAGAAGAATAACCTCATTTCTCATGCTCTGTCAATCACCAGAAAACCAATTGTACCTTTTCAGTGATAGACAATTCAGGACTAAGCCTCACTATTTACTGTTATTCACCAAAATTCTGCTGCAGAACAGAAATGATGTAGGTATTTTCAATGTTATGTTCTCATCCCTTTATTGGAATTATTCTTCAGGAGGATAATCATTCATATTTTCAAACAGCAAATATTTGTAAAGCATGAATGTGAGTTCTTAAATTTATCTTAGAAAGTATAAGAAAGAGAAAAGAGAACATGGCTTTTTCTCCTATAAAACTTTAAATAATGAAATCTTAATTATTTATACTAAGAAGTAGCTGTCTTAAACACACAGAACCATAGCTCATTACTACTGTTATTATTTTTTAATCTTGAATGCCGTAGCCTATGCAAGTACAGGAAAGATACTGTCTTCACTTAATTAGTTTCTTCTAAACTGGAAAATTAACTTGGCATCAACAACAGACAACCTAATTTCACTCCTACAAAAGCATATGACATCTACTTCTGAGAAGTTGAGATCTACTACTTCTAATATTTAGACAGATATGGGGAAAACAATTACATTTACTCAAGTAGGATAATACTTCCAGTTTTAATAAGTGTAATTTAAATGCAAAACAAGTTCTTTGTTGGCAAAATAAAACAGTACCCAGCATATTTAACAGCTTTATTCAAATGATACAAGAAACTTGCCTCTTCATTCCAAAATTATCAATCAGAAGACAGGCAAAGCTGGCAGAGTATGCCACTTACAAGTTTAAAACCTAACAAAATGTGATAATCAGGAGCTTGAATGACAGTGTGAACTTTGAAAGGTTATATTTTCTAAATACTTGAACAAGAACAATATTCTCCAAATATTTATTTTCTTCAATTGGTAAATATAAGAGCTAGGTCTGTGAATTGGTCCAGTCTGTTTCCAGTTGAGGAGATGCCTTTTCTGTTTGGAAAAGTCACTGAAAACTACAAACCCAAACAAGATTTTAGTAATATTTACATAAATTTAAAACCTAAATCCAACATTTCCACTCTTGCCCTAAGAAAAAAGCATTAAAAAAAAAATCCTCAGGCTTTTACAAGACAGAAACAAAGTCTCCATCTTAGTTCATTTGTAACAAAAATGATCTACTCTTCCGGATAAAACAGTTCAATTTTATTACCTTCCCATTAGCTCTATTGATCTTATTCACAACTTCTGCAATGATGATCTTTTCATCCACAGCATCTTTAAGTTTTTTGTACTTGGGGTTCTTGCTGATTTCCAAGTAAGCTCCTTGGAATGGCTGCCCGACACTGCCCAACAAAAAAAGACATAGGAAACATGAGTTAAATATGAATCTCAGGGAAGAAGCAAACCTTATTAAACCACCATGCTCTGATTTGGGCTTCATGGAGCCAGGAGATACACCAAATACCATTTTCCATGACTCCATACTGTTGGAAGCTCACTTAAGCTGTGATATACTCTCTACCAGGAAAAGTAATTTGCTGCATCAGTTTTAGCGAACGAATACTGTGAACAGCCCCAAAACCTTTACTCACAATTTCTCCCTGTTTTAAACAACAGCAGTGCAAAATAATTTGCTACTGTCTAACAGAGTAATCAGGAGAATACATAACTGAATGCAAACAGAGCTTTTAACATGGTGTGCATTTTTGCAGTGTAATTGTCCTCCATCCTGCTGAGAAGCTGAGAACTGCAGTGCCCTGCTCAGCCACAAGACTCTCCAGTTCAGTACCACTGCTTACTCAAGTGAGGTGGTGTTAACATTAATTTGTGCCATTCAGCCATCCTACATCAGCTGAGAATAACTTGGGAATTGCTACAGAGTAGTGTGGATATATCTCCCAGCATGTTATCCCAGGGGATAAGAGAAAGGAGGAGGTGGAGGGCTAGAAACAGTATATGTATTGGACACAGAATCCTGCATACATTTACAGCACAGTGATAGTGAATGAAGAGAAATTTATCACCAGAGACAGTAATAGGATTTTCTTTTTTTGCCTTTGCTTTGGAAACATTTTCCAATCAAATGGGCCAGATTGCTACAGGTGTAAGACACAAGTACATCCTTGAATATGCAATCAATTTTGTTTTAAAAACACCCAATAACTGTCTCTGTGAAAACAGGGAATAGTAGGACTGACACCTTTGCCCTTTCTCAATACTTCAGAGTGACGGACAAGAACTTGCCTTCAAGATCTGTTTGTTAAATGTGTATCAGCTCTTGTCAAGACTTGCTGCACCTGCAAATCACCTCACCTTTATCCACCTCAGGGTTATTCAGGAAGAGCTTTGCTATCAGTTGAGAACTGCTGACTGCAGTTGCTGCTCGCTTTGTTTGGAAGTCACTTTAACTAATCACTTTGATTAAATTACAATCAAAGGACTAAATGCAAAGTGCTTTGACTGTAATTTAATCAAAATTACTCCAGATTGTAATTTAATCAAAAAAATCCACAACCAGAGCCCAAGAGGAACCAATATATTATGTGTAATAGCACTACCTTTGTAATTGCATCTCTGGCACGCAGCAAGATGGGAGAGAAAACGAATGCTGCTAGTATTTCAGTACTCATTAAAAAGTTCCTTTCTGTTCTTAAATAATTATATTATACACAAAAATTATCCACATCCTATGAATCATTATCATGCTAACTACCCAGAAACTTTATACACTAAATTCCTCCACCCTTAGGCTGATAAAAAGCTCCAACAAGAGCTAATCAGCTCTGAATAAAAGGCAAAAAGAGACAGAAATGTTTCTAAATTAGTGCAGGGTGGGGAAAGCATTCTAACTTTCTACCACATTGGAGCTTTAGGGTTTTTTTGGTTTTATTAATTAGCATTATGAAACCATAGCCACCAAACCAGTAGATTCTCTGTGGACTTTGTCCCTAATCAAACTATGACAAATCACAAGCTAAAACTCAAATGAATCAGCAGTTACTATCATATATACCACTTCAGAATGTCTTGGATAAAAGGTTCTCAGATATATGTTTTGTTTTATAATATTTCACTGTTTGGTCTTGGTGTAAAAGGTACCAAACCAATTATATAAATAAAATTCCTTCCTTCCCAAGGAGCTCTATGCTGATCAGATCTACACTGACTCAAACAAAAAAAAAAAAACAACCTTGCTCCTAGAGAAGTCCAAAGGCAGCATCTTTCTCTTTTCTCAGCAGCATAAAAAGACATCCCAAAGGAAATAAGGAGCAAACCACAAGCTAACATATACAGCCATTAAATAAGTTATCTACTGAAAGGAAGAAAGGGAAACATACACTGAGCCTGTAAGAGGAAAAAAGGAAACGTTTCAGTTACACAAACCAAAACTAATAAATTACAGACACACAACTAAGCAGAGCTTGTCCATGCATGGAACTGCTCCCATCAATGCATGAAGATTCCTGATCCTTCCTCTACTGAACCTTGCTTCTTGTTTTACAATGCCTTGTTCCTGCTCAGCTCAAACTATGGCTTCTGAAAGAAAATTCTCCTGAGATGGACAAGACCTTTGTTTAAGAAAAACAGAGTTCTGGTGCTCCTATATTTGTCAGTTTTATCGACGCAAAAGAAGTACATTCCTTATGCAACATCAGATACTACTGAGTAATCAGATACTACTTTGAGTAATGCTAGATCTGCAGACTGCAATGACAAGAATTTATCAGTTTTTAGGAACTCAGTAACCAGAGAAACCAAAAAACTTATTTGCAAAGATTATACATTTTTAAAAAGCCCCCTTCAAATTTTTAAGCACTTTAAGTATATATATTTTTAAGTATCCTTTTAAATAGATACATACCAATGATCTAACTCTTAAATTACCTAGTCTTCACATTAGAGCATTATGGTGAATGCACTGAGTCTGAACTAAGAGAATTCCCTGGCACACCTCATCTGAGAGTGACATGGTCACTTACAGCCTTCCAATTCACTCTACATTTATTGGTTGCAGAAACCAGCATGATGGAAACTAGGGGAAAGGGTGAGAGTTATTCCCTTCTGTAAGTTCTCCAAGCTTTTACAATGTGAAGAGGTCATGGAGGGTTAGAACAACAGAACATCATGGCTTCTGGACAGAAGTGCTCAGTATCACAGGATTAGTGGGCTGCAACAACATCTGTGTTAGAAGCAAACTGAGGTCAATTTGCAGGATTGTAAAGTAAAATGATGGAGGGACATCATCAAACAAGGAAAATGCACTTTACTGCTTAATATAAAAAGCAAAATCTTGCTTGGTTTCCTAAATCTATGTATGGATATTGACTTTATTGTACACTAGAAGCAGTAGAATAAGTCATTACCTGGCTGGATATAAAGCCTTCTTGTCCTTGAAAAGTTCACTTGCTTCCAGTTTTTCTTCATATATAAGCTTCTGCTGATCTGTGAATTGGTCTCTGTACTTTTTACACTACAAAACACAATATATTAAGCAAACCCAAAAATTATCCTTCCTGATCTGATCTGAAGCAGCAGCACCACAGACTCGTGTTTGCTTATTGCTCAAGATGCACATTCCTTGTATAGTTCTGAAGTGACTCAGCTCCATCCTACATGCCACTGTAACACAGTAAGAGGCAACAGAGGTGGTTTTCTCCTCACCCATTCTAGATAGTTCTGAATTACACCAAAACCAGCGTCTAAACTGTCTCAATTTAAGCATGTTGCGTTTGAACACAAGCTTATTATATCAGATACCAGTCACTGGAAGACTGTGCTAAAAAGGTTTACAGAAACATAAACATATATATATACATATATATATAGTTCCACCATTGTGGAAGTTTATGTAAGAAAGAACAAAACACAGCTGAGAGAATGAATTTTGCAGGCTCAGTAAGAAAAGCTGTTCCTTGACAATTCACAGAAAACACAGCCCACAAGACCAGTAAAACAAATCATCGGCACTTCTACAGATTCTCAGTGTTTTCTCTATCCAAAGATCCAAACCAATTCTCAGCTAAACACAGTTCTTCAGTAAAAAAATCCAGCCAGTACTTCCAGTGCTGGCCTAAGACCTAGCCCCAGTCCTGGCCACGGTCACAAGTATTATAAGCTACCAATTAACAGGCAACAGGCGTACAGTTTTACTGTTACGTTAAAAGCTGATGGCAGGAAGCAATCCTCCCTCCTCAGCCCCAGAAAGCAGTAGGCAGGATAGTTATACCCTTGCAGGCCAAAGATAATGATCAAAATCCATACATCTTCCAAAGTAATAAAATCATCCGGGCTGGAACGGGAAGAAATACATCCTAAAAATAGGCCCTTCATGAACAAAACTATTGGAAATCATGATGAAGTTCTGTATAGACTGGACTAGGATGTATCCTACCCTCCACAAATGGAAAATCCTCTTTAGCTCCTTGTGAGTTGAGTCCAAGAAAAGGTAAGGTCTTGCTGGCCAGTTCTTATCTATTGGTGATAAAGAAGGCATCTTATTCTTCATTTCCAGGAAGTATTTTTGCATCTGTGACAAAATTAAAGCAAGATGTTTTAATAATGTTCAAATACCAGAGTTACTGATATAAGGAAGGAAAAGCAGATGCTCTGTGATTAAAAGCACAGCCACCAAACTCAACTCTCAGCTTTCACAAACCTGGATATGGATTTAAGATGCCAGGTATACTGAGAACTGCAGATTTAGATACCAATGCTTAGTTAGTACCCTTCCCATACCTTCAAAACACTACCACTATCCTTTCCTTACAACAGCTGACTATTTGTCAATTTTCCATATGCTTAGCTTAGACATTTCCTTACAAAGACTATTAACGCCATAACACAGCTGTTACTTTTGCTATCAAACAAAAACTTCAAAACACAGAAAATGCAATGTGCTTCATGCAGATATATACATACAAGTCTCTGAAGGGTAAATTCATAGATTTTTCTTCCAGCATTGGCTCTGAAGAATTTCCTGTACTCTCTACGGACCTAAAAAATTAAACAAACCCTTAAAGTGAATACAACACATGAATCCCTTTGTACAGGCGCTGTACTATAAAGTTCTATGGCAGAAAATACTAAAAAGGCACATAAACATGCACAGTGTTCCCTGAAATAGGAACAATAACTGGGTACACTTAAAATATATGAACCAGACCATGGACTGAGTGGTCAGAAAGTCACCTCGGCTGAGCACAGTCATTTGCAAATTCAACAGACAATGTGGAATGCTTTCCTCTGAAAAGGTAACCTATTAAAATATTGTTGAATTCACAGCATGAATTATTTTCATGGGGTTTTGCATAAAGTTAGATTGGATAAAGTGAGATATCAACAGTGCTAGATATTTTATTGTGTCTAAAGTGACACTGAGCTGATGTTAATTACATAATTGACTGGTTAAATATTTCTGATTTTTCTCCTTTGAGATTCTTAATACACAGAGTTTCTGTAAGGGTGGGTTTTTTTTTTCCAGAGCAGACTTATGCATGAAAAATCTCTTTTCACACAAGCAGTCTTTGTCCCAAAAGGAAAATAAGATTTTGCTGCCATGTAAGAGCAAAGAATCAACACAAAGGTTGCTTGATATCAGCAAGCTTGATATTTACTACTGAAATTTACTTACAACAAGGAATCACTGAGAACCATTTTGCAGGTGACACCCATTTTTAATACATGCTGGCAAATCCAAGTTTCAGAACACTTGTTTTCCCCTTCATATTCCTAAGAACGCTACTTAGCAGACTACCTATATTCCTCCCTGCAGAAAGCGCAATCTGAGCACAACTGGTTTGCAGTTTTATGTGGAGCCCAAGCTCACATAAAGTTAGCTGAAACATCCCCCAGCTTTCCCCAAACTTTGGCACAGCAGCAACACACCTGTTACAGGTTTAGAGCAAAAACCAGGGAAAACATTGTAGTTTTACTTCATTTGCCCCACAGCAAATTTAGCGGTTTTAGCTACTCGCTGTGTGCTGCCGAGTTCACTGTAACCAGAAAGTAAGGGAAAACCCATAGAAGAAAAACCCACATCAACTTGTAAGAAAAAATTTGCTTGGCTTACCCTGGCACACCTTCTGCCCTATACTGAGTGTCATGCATTTTAAGATAAGCCAGCATTTTGGAAGCAAGAATCTGTCACCATTCTGGGATTAACACACACACACCCGATAAATGGATTTTGTTTAATTACAGATTAAAATGCACCAACATGACTGGCAGCATTCAGTCGTCATCATTCTATGCAAATACAGCACATAATTTTTTCCTCCTCACTTTGTAGGAAAAAATTATTAGAGTTCTTATTCACTGATTTTGTGTAAGGTTTAGTGCTCTATAATTAGTGTACATCCATTACTACTTATTCAGGGATGGAAATTAACACACTTAAAGCCACTCCAACCACAATCATCCCAAATCTCACCATGTTCTCACAGACCCTCTTTAATGCTGTTGCTTTATATTATTCTCCGTGAGCTGCAAAGTGTGCAAATTAGTTTGGAACAAAGGGACTAATCTACACCCACATGTCCTATTGGCGCTGGAGGGAAGCTGCAAAGCAAGCACTGAAAAATGCAAGCCGTTCCAGAAAAGCCTAAATCTGGAAAGTATCACAAATGCTATTAAAATACACTTACCGTACCATTAAAAAACCCCCAACCCTCAATAATTAATAGTTTAATCTTGATCACTTGTATCAACTTTAAATCTTTAGTTTCATATGTCATGGTTGAAAATACTTTGACATCTAATAAGAACTGTCTGTGGCAACAGTGATATATTGTAATTACAGACTATGTTCTCATTCAGAAAAATCTGCGTATTTTAGGTGAGATGGTAATGCTGCTTACACTAGTAAAAAATACATTGAAAAACCACACCACAGACAGGCAAAAACATATTTCTGCTGTAATGTGCCTTAAAGATTTTGGTTTCATCAGTTTTCATTTAAATGCTGCTGTTTGATATGAAACAGCCTCTGAGTTCTCAGCAGGGACATATTCTTGTTTTAAAGTCATAAAACCAGACCCACTTTGGCAGAAGTACCCACAGTGTGATTCTGATCTGCAGAGTGACTTCTTAAAACGGCTCCTTTGTATTTCCAGCTCTGGCTTCCATGTATGTATTGTAATGGATGTTTTTATATACATAATATACATATATATAATTGTTTTGTAATTATTTTTCCCACTCCAGCATTGTTAGAGTAAGTATGAGAATATGAGAGCTGGACTTTGCATTATCGAATTAATTATTCCCTTTTATATTCCTGAAGTCTACAATATCCCTAATTAGCAAAAGTGACACCCGGCCAAGCAAAACTGATTCAGATTTCCACAGTTCTTCAAGACTGCATCTGTCAAACTATGTTTGAAAACTGTATGATGTAAATTATCTGGGAGCAGACCTGAAACATCTCAAGATGCCATTTTCATAGTCTATTTACAGACCAGAACTACACTTTTCCAGATTACAAATGTGTTTTCTTTTGCCAACCAGCCTTTGAAAGCAAGGGATAAAAAACAAAAGACCCTCGTACATCTCAGTTTTTCTAGGAATTCATGGCTGCCACAAGCCATAGGTAACTGCATGCAATGCCATGCCCTAAAAACGATGATGGAAGCAACAGGACAGTATCAATTGCTTTACACCATGCCCTTGACACTGGGGTCAGGGGTCTAACATGAGCAGCAGTGAGAGTCAGACAGCTCCACCTTACTTCCCATTCAAACAAGCAGAGGTCACAATAAGAAAATACATCCTTGTAATCTTTCCTTATAGGATATTTGCCAATGTAGGTCAGGTTTATAAGTCAACAACCGTGACAGAGTCCCTTTAATCTGCCATTTGTCTTTCACTTGAAAGCTGAAATTCCTGATTCTAAATTAAATTCCTGATTCTAAAAACCAGATGCCCAAATACTGCTGTAAATGAGGCATTTTCAGCTTATGTATTTTTGGTACAGTCCATGACAAAATTAAACAATGCCATTCTGTGTAAAAACCATCTCTACGAGTGAGCCCAGATAACTGCTTGTTTATTAAGTGTTAGTAAGGTGCCACACTTATTGAGTTCAAGTTGACAGATGGGAGTGTTTGAGAAAGTACCTTCAGTCCAAGCCAGTAAGCCCAAATGACTGCAACAGCATGCTTACGCCTAGCCTCCTCCTTCAAGCGTTTCAATTCCCTTCGAGCCTAAAAGGTTTAGATAGTGAACAAAAGAGACAGCCCGATGCAGATAGCACAACCACTAGGAAAAGGCTTCTCCCAAACAGAACAGCCAACTTACATTCAAGATACGGAAAGATGAAGAATAGCGTTTAACCTTTAAAACCCAATGTGTCAGTGTGAATTGGTGTGAAGCCACACGGGAGGTCAGTGGCAAGTAGCTATAACTTGATTCTAATGGAGACCTTTGCCTGCAGTTGCATGATCAAAATGATGTGTACAAGAATCAGTGTTTACTAACCTCCCTATCTGGTAACTTCCATTGGCAAGTGCTTGGGCAGAAAAGAATCAACTCTGAAACTATCTATGTAATGATGAATTACCAGTGCTCTATTGAAGGCTTTTATTCTGGAGGTTACTTTTTATTTTGATCTTTATGTAAAAGAAAAGTGTCTCCAGCCTGGTAAATTATGTCTGTCTTTATGGAATGAAAGGGTAAACTTCCCCGAACCTAGTGCCTTCTGCATGTACAAAGAGATAGGCACCTACCTACATTTTATCAATCATTCCCATTTTAGGAAAGCAGTTTGCAAAGTATTCTAAACACAAAGGCATGTGTGGACAACTTAACAGAATCTCACATTTTAGGAAACACCGGTATATTTGTTATTCAGTTATCTGATGATAAAAGTCAATTAAAACAAAGAGTTCCAGTATTAGAGGATCAGTCAGAGCAGTTCTATCCATGTATTTGCACTTGTCAAGTTCTGTGTTGTCAGCCAGACTTGTGCAACAGCAGTTCCAGCCTGTGCCAGTTACCTTTCTCTGATGTAGCTAGGAAGGTTAATTGGCATTAGGTGTAGGCCAAAGAATACCATATCAAAGAACATATTTTCACCCATCTGCTTGGAACAAAAGCTCCTACTATACAGTACTGTAAAAACAAGGACTCTGCCAAGCTAAGTGTTTGCCTGTCTGTGAAAAGGAAGAAAACTGAGGACTTGAGGTTCACAGCTTTTTTGCTTGTTTGCTTGGTTGGTTGTATTTGTTTGTTTATTTATTAATTTTTTGGTAAATCAAGCAATCTCTGATGAAAACTTTTAGAAACTTGTTTTAAATATTCCCCTGGGAAAAGAGAAAACATCACACCAAGAGCAAGTTTTATCTCTTATCAGACACAGTAATTATTTTTCTAATCTTAATTCAGTGTAATTATTTAAGGAATATTTAAGGAATAAGGAAGCGATTTTTAATGTGAGCCAATTGACAAAAATAGCTACTAAAATATGTTTAAAATTATCCAGATCTATTAAATGAGAAGCTTCCACACAGTTAACACTATTGCATCCACTTCCTGGATGTGCCCTTTTTGATTCTAAAGAAAACCTTAAACCTGTGAAAGTAAGTATCAGTTCTGCAGCACTGAGAAAATGCTTTTTGGTGAAACGACCTCTGGTTAAAAGTAACATAAATTATCAATATACTGCATTTAAACAAACACAGTGGAAACAGCGTGTCTGTACAATTACATAGCACCTAATTACAAGCTAGAACTGAAGAGTTTCAAAGTCTCTCTGGTATGAGGGAAATTCTGTACATTTGTTTGGATTCCCAGGGCTGCCATTTCATTAGAAATTTATTAGATTTATATCAAAATTGCAAAGGTCAAACTCAGCATTATACTCCAGATGTAACTTGAGCCCATTTCTCCACCTAGCTGGCAAGCTGTCCTGACAACATCCCCCCTCACACACACCTCCCCTAAATAATATCTGGAAAATGTTTTAAGCTTCATGTGTTTCCTGATCATAGTTTTCAACTAAATTATGAATTTATTAATCGAAACCATTAAATTTTTGACCACTAGTGAACAGCATTTCAAATGTTCACATAACCCACAACTGCAGGCTGGGGATTAGCAAGAATCTTTCAGTGGGACTTTGCTTCTGAAAACAAACAGCTGATGCTGGAATTCCTGGGATTTTTCTAGGACTGTAAGTTTAGAATTGCAAACTAACATAATTTTCTGCTAAAAGATCAGGTCGTAAAACCATGCTTCACTTGTACTGAGAGAAATTTTCTCACTGGTTCAAATCACAACCAGAGAATCAATTAAACCAATTAAAACTACAATTTAGTAGAATTTAAGAGTATTGGTTTGAACTTGTAAATGAAGCCTGCCCAGGGTGCAGAATATACAACCTGGTGAAAATCTCCATCGGACCACTGGTACAGTGTCACTGAAAGCACTTGTTAAGGGCAGGGGGAACACATCAAAAAACACAACCTTCTCCCCCCTCCCCCAAACCATGCTTTGCATATTTACATGTAGTTAAATGCATTTCCTAATTTGAGGATAATCTAATCTAGTAATTTTTAATCTAGTTTTATTGCTTGTTAGTGCAAATCACTACCTGGTTGCCATGCAAAGAATTTCCTACTCTACAAAAAACTGACATACAGAATGTTGTCAGATTTATTAAGTGTGGCATGGATGGAAATGAGAGGAATCAATGATCATGCTCTATTCAAATCAACTGTATTAGTCATTAATTCTCACCATCTACTACTGATTAAATGTTTCTATTGTTGGGTAATGGAGAGGGGCATGTGATATGTGCATGAAATACCTTATATCCAAGCCAGTAAGCCCAAATAACAGCAATAGCATGTTTATTTCTAGCCTCCTCCTTCAGTCGTCTCAGTTCCCTTCGCGCCTGTGATGCATTTGAAAATGGGATATAGAAAAGCTTAGGAAAGAAAAGGTTACTGCAAGTTCCCAATGGTGCAAGAAAGAGAGAAAGAAACCAGTCATTAAAACCAGCAAATACTAAAGCATGTCCCAGCTTCCCAGACTGCACCAGCTAGAACATGTTAGGAGCAAAGAGAAGCAGAAGTAAAAAATCAGCAGTTTAAGCCACTGAAAATATTCCCAGATAACTTTATCCTGAAGAGCCTTCTTCATTCTATCTACCTAGAGACAATTAAATGCACCATTTGTTACCATTTTCTTACCTGGGTACCATGCCAATAAGCAGCAATTATTGTGGCAGCCTCATTACAACGCTTCTGATGCTTAAGTTCCCGGAGAAGTTTCCGAGCCTGTAAACAATTGAAAAAGTTATTTTATTCAAAAAAATAATGATTTTAAACCAAGGCACTACAACCTGGAAATTAGGCAAAGCCAAAACACACCACCTCCAAATCCCCAAGCAAATAGAGTCATAAATGATACGCAGCCTAACATTCACTGCTCCAGAGAGGATTCTGTTCACAAGGGAGAGTTTGGGAGTGGTAGTTCAGGGGACCTTAGCTCAATGTTTAGATTTCGCCCAGATCTGCCGCATCATCTGAGATATCTGTATGCCTGTCTGTACAATGGCAACACTTTTCCTCCACACAGTATACGTCTTATCCATTTAGACTGCAATAAGAATAAATCACAAGTAAATTGCCTGTCTTTAGGTCACACTAAAGGCTGCTGCCATACCAGGCTTTCATCCATGGCAGTGCTACCACAGAAGAGCATGTTCTCCAATAGTAAACGAAAATCATAACTCGAGATGATGCTTTTACCCAGTTTTCTTCAAGTAACACTCATGGGAAAAGACAGTAGGTCAATAGTTGGACTGAAAGGATATTTTTAACTCATTTAAACAAAATAATGAAGACAAAGTAAAAATCAAGAAAAATAGTAAAATCAAATTTCACCAGCTTATTGCTGGCAAACTTTAAAACCTTCTGGGCAGGAAAGGGCTGTTTACACCTATAGCTAGTAACTGTAGCCCCTTCCTTCCCTGACAGGAAGGGAACCGACTCCAGAATTAAAGGCAGTTTTCTCTTCCCTAGAGGAGAAAGCCAGATTTAGTGGGGTAGAGAAAGGTTAATAAGGAAACAGAGGAGCCCAGGGACATTTTTTTCTGAAGCTGAACAGCAGTAGTTGCTTTAAGCACTGTGGCTGCTTTCATGTGAGCTGTTAACCTCGTTTTTACCTCTTATTACAGCATTACTCCTTAAGTCCCTGCTATGGCTGAGGGATTATACCTTCACGAAATACAAACCTCTCAAAGAAGCAAAGTTGTAGCAAATTGAGGCAGAGGACAAGAAAACAGCAATAAAGTACTTGCCCAACACAAGTTGAGTACAGTACTTTCACCCCTCCATGTAGCACACAGAGAATCGAAGATTAACCCAAGTAACACACTGCACAGGTGACACAAGCTCTTTATTTTAAGCCTTCTTTTATTTTGTTCATTCTCTGAGAATCCTGTTAATTGTAAAATAAACTCCAACCACAACTTATTTCTACCAGTCCAATCAGTCCAATGTTATAGTTTTTGTAAGCCCAGTGGCAGAGTCCCTGACCATTCCACTCTGGAGCTGCTGCGGTGCCTAGCATGTACCTAGGTCTGCTCTGAACACCAGATTCACTCATTCACACTCCAGCCCATGTAAAGAGTGTATCTCTCTCCAAATCATCTGTCAGAGGATCCCCCAAGGATAACAAGAGTAGTTCAGTGTGATTCCAGCCTTCCCCTTGCACTGTTTGAAGGGATTTACAGCCCAGGCTGCATGCAGATGTCCCAAATTCACCACTTCTGTGGCAAACACGAGTATTGAACAACAGCTATGGCACAGCCACAGCTCAATAGACAAAAGGCATTGAAGTTGGAAGGCGCAGTGCATTTGGAATGGATTTTCTGACCTGCTATTTTCTGACTCACTATGCAGACTTAGCCACAGCAACAGGGAACTCACCTTCCATCCTCTGATGTAGGACTGTACTATAATAGCCGAACTCTTTATCTTCTGATACTTTTTTTGTTGCTGTATTGGAAATAAATATGTGATGCTTAGAACCGAATATTGCAATTTTAAAATACCGCATAATAAGACTTCCCTTACTAACACTTGCTAGTACAATTAAGGACACAAGCACTACATGCAAAAAGTCAACAGTTTTTGACCAAGCAGATCAGAGCGTAGATTCTGTGTTCAACTCGAGGGGAAACAAAGCACATCAACAATGCTGCATGGACAATGCCACTCTCTATTTACAGAAACACTAAATTCGTGTCAGCAGCACAAAAGTGACATGGATTAAATACTAACAGTAACAGCTTTATTTGCCTTCCTCACCAACAGAGTTGCATACAAATAAATGCTCAGGTTTGTTGGCTAAGCTTTTACCATCTTTTCATAGACCTGTGCTGTTCCTATCACCCACAGCCTGTTTATAATACCAAATGCTGACAATAACTTAGGAACCAGAAAAAAGAAAACCCATGGATTCCTGAATGACATGATGGAATATTATCCAAGTATGCCAGTTTGAACAATAAATTTCCTGGACAACTGAACATTTTCCTTCTAAAAAGCTCAGTTTTCTAGTAGTCCAGTGATTAGTATAACACTAAGTGAACAACAATTGACAGACTTTGCAACAAGGCTTTTAGTGTGACACTCAGCTCACTCAATTACAGTGAACAGCCCTGCGAGCAAGCTAGAGAGAATCCCCTCTAAGCCACATGCATGCCATGACTGACATGTCATTCCTTGAAATGGAACAGACAGGCAAGTGTCTGCAGATCCTTTAGTGAAGCCTCCAGCACAAGGAGTTGTCAAAAAGCTTTGTTCATGCAAGGGATTCCTTATGAATCACAGTGCCTAGCAATCATGTTGGGTTAGGAGAATGGTGCCCTACATCTGCCTGAAGAGGCTGAAGAAATATCACTATTGTCACCTCTAAGTAATTGAGGGTGTCGCTATGACTGCTTCCTGTATTCAAAGACAACTGCTGCCATGCTCCACCAGTGAACCAATAAAAGTCTACAGTTAAGAAATCAACAGCAATGTGAACTTGGTCACACGGGGCTTTGTCCATTTCTTTATATTAAAATTTGTACCAATCTAGCTGTGGAACTCCACTTTTAGTTCATAAGATTGTATGAGATCATAATGAAGCCATATGGGCACAATGCAATTCTGTAATAATGCTGTTTGCAGAAATAGTGCATTCTGCCACAGAAGTTCAAAAAACCCCAACATTTATTCATACTTTTTCCAAATGATCTATACTTCTCTCTAATTATCCAAGATAACTGAAGCAAACACTAATGGCTTTCAAGGTGACAAACAGAAGTGCTTGTCAAATGAAAAACAGCGATTGTCAATTCTGCAACTTGCAGTTTAAAATGCTTTCTTTCCATATCATATATTTTAACAAGCTTTCTGATATGCACACAGTAATAAAATGCAGCTGAGATGTTTAAGAATTGTTTTAAAACTTAAAAACAGTAAAACTTTTTTTATCATATTAATCTCATTTACTGACAAAGACATTAAAGGGTCATAACAATACTGTTCACTTCATGACACAGAATACCCAGTGTTCTGTACAAGGGATTCTGTGCAAACAGATCTGAAACTAGTTTAGAACTAAATCAATAACAACACTGAACTACGAGGCTTATGAGCTATTATTAAAATAAGCCCCTGAGATCCTCCCAAGCAGCATTCTTGAGCCTCAAATGCAAGGATTCCAAATAAGGCAAAAATACAAAAAGCCTGAAGAATGACTGAATTCCACACAATTGCAGATGTATATTACTGAATATATTTTACTCATTAACCATACTTTATGAAAGCACCATAAGTGCCACCATTTTACCTGAATGAGAAAGGCTCTTCCCAGATGGGCCACAAAATCCTGCTCTCCCAAATCTAAAGAAGCTCTGGTGAGCTTTTTACTTACTTAAGCGCAATGTAAACATTTAGTGGCCTACAGCAACTAAATCGTCTTTATTCACATTACTGGTATTTAAATATTAACATAAAATTGAATTCTTCCAACAGTTTCCTATACATATCATATGAAATATACTATCAAGGTTATATGAAAAAATGTATTAAACAATGAAAAGAACCCCCATTTAGTAAGGATAGTATCTTACTGCATATCTCCTGTACCAGGAAGCAATCACAATCTGGCTTTTCTTCATTAACAAGAAGCGTGTACGGCACTTCCAACCTCTATAAATCTTCTCAATTAGAGTAGCCAAATCCTCCAACCGCTGCTTTCTCAGATCTTCTAGCTTGAAGAGCTGAGTTTGGGTTTTTTTTAGGGTTTTGGTTGACATTGGGAGAAAAACAGCAGGGGAGAAGAAACCAGAAAAAAACCCATAAGCACAATTATTGTAAGAGAAATCTCTCCTTTATTCAAGTCCCCCCTCAGACATCTTTTGGTTTATTCACCTCCAGAGCTATAGGCAGATACACCAACAAAGTTTGTGTCAGATACACTGTCACAAGTTGGCACACAAAAGTAACATTAAATTTAGGCTGACAACTATTGTAGAGTCTTGACTCGCTTCAATTTTAATGGGCCTAACATTAAAAAGTGCCTTTTTTTTAGTGCTGAATTTCACAGCACTGTATCAAAGTGCTGTGTCTAGAAAAATCTGTAGTAACCAACTAGTGAATTATGCTGTTTGTAACAGGCTACCCTTATGAAAGATGGCTTGACTTTGCAGAAGACATTTTTCACTTACTGTTCTTGGGTTGCGGATGAATATCTTTGATCTACCAAAGGAAAATTCTTCTTCAGGGATTTCCAATTCATTAAACAGGACTTCTACTCCAGCCCTAATAAGAAGCAAATGAGCTTAACAAACATGACTTCCAGCTCTAAAACTTCTTAGTTTACACACTCAAAGAATAATTTATTGAAAGTATATGAAAGCGTATTTTAAATTCTCAAATTGTGCTTGACACAAGAAGATTGAAGACCTAACTCATTTACTCACTGGTTACTTGGCTAAAGGCAAGGATAATCACTGTAAAGATTCAAAATAATTTGATGGAGAAAAAGGCAATTTTGTTAACAGCATCAGCAATGGCCTATTTTTTCCTCTTGTATCTGTAATAATTTTATTAAAAAAAAGAAGGAAAAAGGGAGGGATCTCACATTAACATCAAAATGTGAAATAAAGACTGACAAATTTGACAAATGCTCATGTTCCACACTCTACCAACTGCATTTTCTAAGTGTCAACAAAAATAGAAAACAGAACAGATTGCCCAGAGAAGCTGTGGCTGCCCAATCCCTGGCAGTGCTCAAGGCCAGGCTGGATGGGCTTGGAGCAACCTGCTCTAGTGGAAGGCATCCCTGCCCATGGCAGGGGATTGGAACTGGGTGAGCTTTAAGGTCCCTTTCAACCCAAACGATTCCACGATTCTATGAATTGCACTGATCCTAGTGATGATTAACAATGTCATTGTTATCAATACTGCACCTCCACCATTATCTTGATAACGTAAAGTTTTAAATTGTAGCTAAAGGTATGAAACTATTATGAAAGAAATTTAAAACATGCTATTGGTGGCCAAGTGTAAAAAGAATTGAGAAGCCCATTTGCCTAAATAGGACATTATCTGAAAAACATGTGAATATCATGCAATTTAAAATTATAGATTTGATACAATTTATTTGCAAAAGATATTATCTCATAGTTGTTCACCAATCATTATGTAATATCATTCTTGAAAGGACAGAGGAAGATTGAGTGCCTGCTTTCAAAGAAATGGGTATTCCTACACTTTAAAGTGTCCTTCTGATCATCCCAGACCCTCTAGTGATTCTGATTCCACTCCAGCCTCTCTTCTCCCTTTCCTCCGTAGCCCCCTACTCTCTTTCAGGCCCAAATGAGTAAAGGCTGAAATATATTCTAAAGCCAACATGGTCTCCTTTTTCATATGCAAAACCCTTTCCATCAGTAGATCAGTTCATAGAATCGTTAGGGTTGGAAAGGACCTTAAGATCATCTAGTTCCAAAATCACTAAAATCATCACCTTTGCCAAAGAACTGTTAATTTTTAGCCTAATGAAAAGTTAATGAAAGTTCCCAGTGAGTGAACTCATCCAAAATCTGGAACAAGATGCTAAAGAACAACATACAAGTAAAACACCTGAGCCACACTGGCCTACTTTTTAATTTACTTTAAAAATACTTGAAAGTTCATTAAATTCAAAGGAAAACAAAAATAATCAGAACACATGGAAGATGGTAATTCCAGTCACTGGAAGTGGACAGGCAAGAATACGGATGTCTTCCTACCTGGCTGGCCCTCTCCAGTGGGGCCATGTCTGCTTACACAGCATTTTGTACCTCTCCAGGCAAGGCTCATACGCCTGCCTGAATGCATAACCTGCCCTTCTGACCCGGACATTCTCCAGAAGACCAAGGTAGCGGATCTGGTGGCACACCAGAGCATCATTGAAGATGTGTGCAGCCTTTTTGTCATTGGGTTTGATGCATCTGGAAAGGGAAGCAAACAATTGTTTGTAGCACTGTGCATGTCAACAACTATTATACAAGTTTAAACTATGCATTTCAATAGTTTATTCTTGGATAGCAAGGTATTATTTGTTAACTTTGCCTAACATAAGTTCACCAGAGCTTTGCCACAGGGTAATTTACCTGATGTAGTTTGGATTTTTTGTCTGAAGGTTCTTCATCAGGGTAGCCACTGAAGCCTTGAACTGTGAACCTGCTGTTGGTGGTCTCTTTAGATTGATCTTAGCAGGGTTCCCCTCTGGGAACAGCGCTTTGATAAGAGAGTGACTGGCCTTCCACATGGCCTGGGAGAGGTCACGGTACAGGAGATCATTATTTTTGTCAACAAATCCTTCCACCTGGTACATAACCTGATAAATACAGAAGATTCTCATCAGAGCATGTTCTGTACTATCACATAGGCCACTTCAAAACTGACCCAAGAAATCAATTTCTCCTTCTTTCTCACTATCCAACACAAAAGACATTTCAGCTTTCATTTTAAATTTGACATTTGGAAGACTTTTAGTTGGATAAAATTGCTGTGAACATGCTATCTGAGAAAGATGCATTTTCTCACACTGCTAACAGGTCCTTGTGCTGATCAATTCTGGTGTCTGAAATGGGAAAAACCTTCTCCCATCACAACCGTGATAGACCACCACTTGCCAACAATCTTTTTCTGGCTGAAAAAAGATTTTCTTTCTTTCTTTTGAATCATAGCAGCAAAAATACCCTTTCCCTTCAAAGTACTAATGCTTACATTATTTGCCTAACTAAAACAAGATATGAAATATCACCTCTTGATATCACAGCAGCAAGCAGCTATCTGCAGTCCTCAGGGGACTGTTCTTTTAAAGGACTTTTACCAGGAAAACAGTCCAACAACAACAAGCATAAATGCAAAGCTCTGACCTGCAGCTGGAGACCCAGGAGGCATCTAGGGGAACTTCATGCAGATCCCAGATTGCTACTGTTCTTTTTAATTTTTGAGGGTCGGGAATTTAGTTTGATTAATTGTGACAATTAATAATTCAGATTCTTCAGCTTCATGATTTTTCAGTTCTATGTAGATATGAACTATGTACACAGAATACTGAATAAAACTGGTACAGACATAGCCATATTTTACACAACAGCAAGTGACTGGGAACTCAGGCAGCATTTTTGAGTACACGTTTCTGTTTCTGACGTGTGGTAAATGCCACTGCTGCAAGAACTGCCCATATGAACTTGCTTGTATTTCATAGAAGCAGAGTCAATCTTTTGTTGTCCGGTGACTAGATCAAAACATTCTCAGCTGAGGATGGAAAAACAATATTCCTCCCAAAATAGGAGGAATTCACTGACTGCTCTGCTGGGTAAGTAAATGCCACTAACAATTGAAGACCCCCAGTGCCTGCTCAAACACAGTCTGTTTGAAGTCCTTCTAAAAGTACTGGGGCATTTTCAATTTGCTTTTAATTTTGACAACCAAAGAAATATCTAAGTATTAATCCCTGATAAGCTACATGCAATTATAAAATCTTCTTGGAAAACACATAACGTAAATTTAACAAATGGCCACTTCAAAGGCTGAAAAGATGGTATTTCCAAGACTATTCTGAATGAGAAAATTACTGAGCTATTCAAAATGGTAAGATTGAGAAATCATTAAAAATTAGGGAAGTATTAAACAGTGCTGGAAAAATAAAACACTTTCCAAATGTTCTTCAATGTGTGAAATTAACAGTTCAGGAGATTCAAACAAGAAGTGTAGTTTCAACCCCTATGCTTCACTTTGTTTTAATAAAATATCTTTTCACAAATTATTTTAATTAATAAAAAGTCATACTGAATTACACAGCAAAAACTGACAGACTTGTATTTATTCATGCTGCTTACGTTGTAAAAAGCAAATATATTTGCAAGCCCTCTATACAGCTTTCTCTTCCATCTGTTTAAACATGCAGATTGTCCAAATAAACTCAGTTTCTTCAAATGTACAAACCCTCCACCTTCTCATCAACATGACTAAGGACTTCAGCTAGTTCAGCAACAAAGGCCATGTTTTCCAAAGTATCTTTCCTTCAAATGTGTGAATTCTTGTCATTCTAAATGGTTTATTTCCGGAAACTTAGCAGTTCACCACCAAATATGTGGGACATCTTTCTCCTTTGATGGAGAACTGCCATTGATTTCAGCTAGAGCAGCAAGACTTTTTACAAGGGCATGTAGTAACAGGACAATGGCTTTAAATTGACAGAGGGGAGAATGAGATTAGACATTATGAAGAAAGAAGCTCTTCCCTGTGAGGGTGCTGAGGCGCTGGCACAGGGTGCCCACAGAAGCTGTGGCTGCCCCATCCCTGGCAGTGTTCAAGGCCAGGTTGGACGGGGTTGGAGCAACCTGCTCTAGTGGAAGGTGTCCTTGCCCACGGCAGGGGGTTGGAACTGGGTGAGCTTTAAGGCCCATTCCAACCCAAACCATTCTATGATTCTATCATCTCTGAAAACCTTCCAGCCCAAATCATGAAATTTAGGCTTAAGACCGAAAAGATTTACGGAGATCTAGATTTTTTGATCAACTATTGACTCAAGCAGTTCTTCTCCATTACTGTAACATCATTTAATGGAGAAAGAGCCTCCCCATTCTACCAAAGCCAGGTGTGCAGCACCCTTCACACACCCCATACTCCCTGCTTCACCAGGTACCTTTCCAGCGTAATGTTGGATCCTGAAGCAGCTGTGAGGCAAGGAGGTGTCATTGAGGAACCGGGAGCACTTGCTCATCCTACTCTCAAAATGCTGGTGAGTGGCACAGACTTGGTTCAGCTTTTCTAAGAAGGTGTCATCAGTAACAGTTCCTGGTCTCAGGCATTCTTCATCTAGCATGGCCAGGATTCCAGTTTGGTTCTGAAGTTTCAAAACAAGAGCTTTAGTGTTTGTTTCCACCAACACATAAAAAGGATATCACTCTCTCCTGCTTGACTTCTGCTACCCAGTAAAATGTTCTTTAAGCCATCTCAAAGTTTCGCTCTTTTCCTCATCCCCATTTCCAACAGGTTTTTAGTATCTGCAGTTTTGAAAGTCTGCTTCTCAGATCAGAAGCAGTCTTGAACTTCATCTTGGAATTGCGCATAACTTACTCAGACTCCAATTTAACTGGAAGTAGCCTGTTTATGGGTAAAACCATCCTACATTTCATGTTAATGGTTAAAAACCTGTTCTTTTCCAATTGTCAAGGAATTTTATCTTTCTTGCTTTGCTAAGGCCATAAGAAGTCCTCTTATTAGATACAAGTAACCTAAAGTACTCAGTAACAAGTCATTGAGTTTTCTAGTTTCTATATAAAAAGAAATGTTATTTATAATGCAGCACGTGATATCTGCTATTGAAAACAGAACTAAATGTAAACATTTAAGAATTGTTTGGGTTTGGTTTCTTTTTTTGTGTAGGTGCTGCTGAACATTTCTAACAAAGTAACATATGGCCTTGTAAAAAAAAAAAAAAAAATTAGTAAAATAAACTTTTACCATATAAAATAAGATGACTAATACAATGAGTGGCTTGGCTTACAAAATCAAAGTACGTGAAGATGCATACAGATTTTACAGCTAAATTCATTCTACGCACTGAAAAATTATTTAGGGAGATTCCTGAATATAACTTACATTTTCTATTAGGTCACAAATTATAGCATTGTTGAAATACTCAATATGAGTCCATTCAATACCCTATAAGAAAAAAAAAAAGAAAATGTATGAACAGGAAAACAACCGAGGCAGCTTCTCCTCTAGACAATTACATTATATTCCAGTTAACTAAGATACTATTTCCAAATTTAATTCTGTATGCTTACCAACATTTTATTTGTTAAGAAAGAAATGCAATCATCGACTACTAACACTATCTGTGCAAAATGACTGTCCTTGAGTGCCTGCCAAGCCCTCTCTCCATTCCTTTCCCCCACCCGTGTCAGCTTCCCATGCACTCTCATGGCACCCCGCCAGGCTCCTCCCGTGTCTGCCTGCCCAGTACTGCTCTGCCCATGATCCCACTGGATATAAGGGAATAAGGAAGTAAACCCATTCCTGTGCAAGCATCCGAGAACAAAATTTCTAAGCTCTTAGTGGTTTGGTTTCTTTCTTTTTTTTCTTTTTAATTAATGGGAGTAAGAGAGAGAGCTAAATTTAGATGAGACCATCTGAAAAATCCAGAATCTGGCTGTTGTCCAGATATTAATTTTTTTCAAATATCAGCAATAAAACTTATCAGGAGGTAACACTGGTGGGGCAAAGGACTGGAAAACCAAATATTAATTCCATTCTTAATCTGCATTCTGCAGTACTTCTTACAGTTTAGTCTTTCAGGGCATTTTACATATGATTCAAGAACCAAATGGCCGTAATGACGTTTCAAGTTTCACCACTGAATGCAAACAAGAAGACAGACATTCCCAAACTTCCTCATCATCATCCCCAAGATTATGAGGCAGGAACATTGTTTATGTTTTAAAAAGGTTTATACAGCAAAATGGTGTCATCCAGCTTGAGTAGGGACAGTGCATGCCAGTTTGCACAGCTGAGCTGGTATTTTGTCTGAGCTCTGTAGATAATGGGGAGTACTGCTAAAACCTATTAAAACTTCAATGTTTACTCACAGAATAACATCAAACACCAGCCTGGGCTCCAAAGCACATCATAAACTTACCCAGAAAGCTGACACAGCTCCCTTCAAAACTTAACTGAAGAAAAACTAGAACCAAAAATCTATTTGTAGTTTCTTTCATAGTGTGTGCTATTGTTTTACCCACCCACGCCCCTTCTGAAACAGGATTAGCTGTGGCCACTGCTGGGGTGTACCCCAGACACTACTGCGCAATCTAAAACACAGGCAGTAGGGTAGTGGCACTAATACAGAAAGTGGTATTAGTCTTCTAATAAATGAGCCCTTGCTCAGAACTGCCAGTTGTTGCCAATGAATGAGAGTTGGGTCTGGTTTTTACCTGGAGAACTCATAACGTGAAACAAAACCAAACACAACTCTTTTTTTTGCTTAATGTAACTACCACACAGTCCGACATAAACATGCTCCATGCCAAAAAATGACTGTTCCCTAAGAAAAGGCTCTAGCACACATGCCTGTGCATCTTCACAGGAACAACAGGATGAGGAGGGAATAAGGAAAGATCCATTCAAGTATTACCTCTCGTATGTATTCCTCCTGCTCTTCTTTTAGGGTAAGTTCAATGAAGATCTGCTGCAACTTCTCATTACAGTAGTTGATAATGAATTGCTCAAAGCTGTTGTCCTGTCAGACAAAACATGTTTGCGTTTGCTGTTGCGTAAACACCCTGGAACTCAGCTGGAGTAAGTTACTGCAAGTCAACAAGCTGCTTTATTAACTAATCCTTCCAGCTTTGTGATTATGATGGTTGGGGCAATATTTTATTGAGATTAGTTTGGAAATTTTAGACCAAATCCTTCCCTGAGGCCTTCTCCATTGGGAGGGACAAAAACTCTGTAGGCTATATTCATGATGCCTCTGTATTGATATTTTGGGGAAGAGTCATAAAAGCGCCTGTGGTGTCAGGGAACAAACAACAGAAGTTTTGCCTGCAGTAATCTGTCCCCATATGTAAAATGTCATCTCCTGTGGGTTCTGATGAATAAAACTATGACAGTAGCATTAGCTCTTTTCTACTTAGTTGCCAATATTTCACTATAGATCCGCAGCCCAAGCTGCTATTCTGGTTGCAGCTGTGCCTGGGTTAAGAGATTATTGGCTCCAGAGGTCAACACACCTCCTTCTTGCCAACAAACTGCTCATGTAATTTCCCCCTGAAATGAGGGAAATTAAAAGAACTTTATCAACCAAAAATCCTCTAAAAGGCTAATTCTGATTAAACGGGGTTAGGGAACAAGCATGGTGTGAGTCTTTGCAGAAACCAAATACCACTGGTAAAGTCCTTGCTCATTCAAGTCAACTGATATTTTACTGCTGACATCACCAGGGCCAAGATTGCAGTGTAAAAGCTGTGGTTTACCACTTCATTATCTTAAACAAGTGCAGTTTGGAGGCCAGGTGCCCATTCTGCGGACTGGTTTAAAATGCCCCTTTCAAAGAAATGGGGAACAGCAGCTTCATTCAACTTTCCCAGTGCTTGTGTCAGTCATTAGCATTATAAGAATTCCATACATGTATATAGAGAAATAACTGCAACCAAGAGTAAATTTGGGTATCAGCTGCTGGTTTTCTCTTCTTGGCTTTGGAGTTGTGGGGTTCTTTCTCCTCTGCCACTCCTTTTTTTGTTTTCTTTCCTAATTACTAGTCATGAAGAACATTTTGATTATTCAGGAAGCTTGAAAATTTGCAGAATAGACCACTAAGCCTTTATAAACTATTAAATAAGTCTGCTATACATTACCTGTGAAGACCAACTTATGGTGGTAGAATTTTTATGATTAACGGCAACTGCAATCATTTCAATGTTTAAATTAAGGATATGGTTGCTAACTGAGATTGAGAACACGCAAGCAGATTAGAAAATATTGAGGTAGAACAGATTACTTTTATCATTTGAGTTTTAGGTAAAGCAAAATCATAGCTGATCACCAAACTTTCTCAGCCACATCAAACCGCCCCTCACACCAACTGCAGTTATCAATCAAAGATCGCAAAACTTGCATAGCTCTAAAGAAGACAGTTAAAATTTGGCATGCAGCAAAATCAGCACTGCAAACAAGTCATACTTACTGCATTCTGTTGCAAAAAGAAATTACATACACTGCAGTCAGTACTTATACTTCCATAACAACACAAAATATATCTATTAGCATTTATTTAGTGTACCACGTCTTTTCATCAGAATCATGTTTGTACATCACTGAAAGTACTACAAAAATGTTATGTATTACTTCTTGTAGATGAGTGTATCTTTAGGTACTACCCAAAGATTATCAAATAAATCAAGGGACTGAGGCAGATCACAGTGCGACACAGAACAGCATTCTTGCACTGTCACATCTCTAAACCACCATGTGTCTTGTTTTGTCTCGAAAAGCCATATATATATGTATATATATGATCTCTGGCAGACAAATATCAGTAAAGGTTGAGGAGAATGGGGAAGGAAAGAGAGAGTACTGAAGGAAGGATGAGTAAAAGTTTATTTGATACATTCAGATAAGGCCATCACTTTAGATATATTGAGTTTGAAGAAAGAGGACCCCAATTGACACATCACCTTGACAAAGAGGAAGGGTAAAACACACTCTGCATCCTCCTGCCAGGTGCATGCCACCCAACACAGAAAGATTGTTTCTCCGAAAGAACATGTTATTTTGATTACAAGCACTACAGGACTTTTCACTCACATATTATACACAGTATTCATCTTCAAAAGAGGATGGAAACTGAACTGCAAATCCAGCTAAACTATGTTAACTAAAAGGTCATTATATTAAAGTAATTGCTAGATACCTTCCTGATTTGCGATTTATCTGTGATATTTATGGCTCGCCAAAGAAAAGCAAACCAAAATCCATAGACTTCTTCAGAAAACACCCACTTTAATCTATGAAATTCTATTCGATATTGCCAAGCCACTGAAAATAGCTGTTCCAGGAAAAGAGTCATTGAAGAGCAGTAGCAATTTTGTTCTTTATGTATGATACAGAGCAAAAGGCTAACAGTTAACTTACAGCAACCAAACTGAGGAAAAATGTTTGGAAATCCTCAACACACTTAACTTTGAACACACAAGAAGACATTTGGTAAATTAAATACACTTCAGAAAGAGGCATTTCCTTTTACAGGTTTTAAGAAACACTGTATGAAAAAAACTATTAGAGAGTTTATCTTAGGGCAAATCTGAGTAAGGCAACAGAGCCTGTGAATTTATTCTCTCTTAATGTATATCTGTAATTTTTAATTATGTGAAAGCTTCACAAAGCATAGACCTATTTTCGCAAATGAATTGTCCCCCAGTTTTTTAATGAAGGCTCCTTGAAATTACTATGATAGAACTACAAGGGATCAAAAGGACTTCTGACATTGTTTTTTAGAAGCCAATAAAGAATGGTTATTATCAGTGATAACACATCACTAAACCCATTCAGGAGAAATGAACTGGTAGGATCCAGCCACCAGAGGCTGTGCTTGCTCCTTATGCTGACGATTTGCATTAAGAAACAGAAAGGGTTTTAACCAACATAGAAAGACCCACAATTTCAGGAAGAGTTAATAAATTCAAATATTCTTAGGAAATTTTAGGGAAAAAAATAAATAAATAAATTTAAGAGCAGCATTTCTCAAAGTGTCAGCTTCTCTTCCAGGCTGTAATTCTGCTACTTTAATGTTGAGAGCATCACTTCAATCCATGCATTCTGATAGCAGCATTTCAAACTATCCCTTTGAAATCACTGCAGAATACAAAAGGTAACCTTTGGGGAAGAAAAGCACCACTCAGTCTCTCAAATTAAATTAAAAGTGCTGGGAAACATAATGTCACCTGAGATAAGCTTAAAGTCATGTCAAATTTATAGACACAAAGAAACCAAACACCCTCAGCTAATCCCCTCAACCTTTTATAACGTGCAACAATACATTTAGACAAGTAGAAAAATTCACTGACAAAAATCAAAGCCTACTTCACCATGTTTTTCACTTCACAGATAATGGTGTCTTGCTCATACAACTTTATTCTTTATCAACCTTCAAACTACCAGGCAACAGGGTGGCGTTTCATAAATAGCAAGTCTGTGAGCTCTAAAAAGTTCTGCTTCAGGTAAAAATATAGTCTCATATACAGAAGCAGATCACAATGCTGTACTTGCTCAGGTTGTTCAGAGTCAACCATGAAAGATGAAAAGTTCTTCTCTTGAACCACTGCTCTTATATAAGTTACAAATAGGTACTTGAAAGTCGAAGGAAAATATTTCTTTTTCCTTAATATTTTACCTAATTTCTTCACAGGAAGTTTCTAGTCATGCATATCGTGGAATCATCTGAAAAAACATGTATAGATGTTCCTGACATTAAAAACTGTTATACCAGTAAAATACTGAAAATATTGTCTCCATATGTTGATGATGAATGTAATTTCTTTCACTAGATTTAGAACACAAAATTTCTAATCCAGGATATTTTCATATGAAAACCAGCTACCTCCTATCCTTCTCTCCCCACAGAGAATTCAAATTCACCCATGAGTACCAAGATTCCAGCAATTTCCAGAGACACTGAGGCAGCTAAGACAATACCTACTTAAAACTGAAAACTGGGTACTTTTCCATACTAGTAGGAGGTAGGAATAAATTCTTATCTTCTCCCCTTGCCTCATAAAACCCTAGTTTAAATATTCAATTTTCTTATGTCTTCTCCACTGTCTTCCCCAAATCAAACATGTAGTATTGTCCAAATGTACACTCAGCTGTATCATCAGTATAAAACCTATACAAGGTATTTCCTAATATTTCCTCTTCCTTCATAATCTTTCATGATTCCAGTTCTTATTCAAAAACCTACATATTGCTCAGTCTACAACCACCAACAAAAAGGTGTTGGGCAACACCTTTTCAAGTAGCTTATATGAACACATTCAACAAAATAATAATATATGAGAAACATTTAAAGGAAAAACATAATTTAAAACAAAATCTAAACACTTCAAGTGACGAGACTGTGGAATGAACAGAACCAATGTTATTAAAATGAACTTTTTGATCAATATGGAGGGGAGAAAGCATACAGAGATTGATGGTTTTGCTCTAACAAATATAGCCCCAGAAAGTAACTTATTTCAGCATCCATGCAGCTCCAGGACTTGGAATTCTCTGACCTTCTCCTGACATAGGCAGGTGATCCCCAGTAGTTCTGTCAGCCCCCTAGACTGCTACTGAGAGTAGTAGCGAAAAAGCCAGATGGCAAAAGGAATGATGATAGAAGACCAACATACTTACTTCACTGAGATGAATGGTGGAATAAATGGTGAAACCAACCAGCAAATTTAATTTCTATCCAACTGTGGTGTCTGGGGATAGGGATTTTTACGTATGACCACAGAAGCATATGAGTTTATGAGGTGAAACTAAGAAATACAAATGCTAGAAAATGAAAAACCAGCAAGAAGGAGAAAGTGCATTTAAACAAAATGAAAAAAGACACATTTTTATCTTAGAAAAAACAAGCTACATGTTTCTCATGTACTCAGTTCTAACTTTTTTTTCTAGTTTTCGCAAAGTCAGTGAAGATATGTTAACAATATTCATCCCGTGTTTCTGTTTATATATACAAACATTTGAGGAATC